TTTAAATACCTTAAGCACAGAAAGGGAAAATACCTAGAATGAAAGTATAAACAACCATTCAAGGAAGAAATGTCTTAGAGAAATGACAACTATATATTTTATAATCTAGCTTACTGTATGACACGCAAATCTATCCAAAGAAACATAAAAGCATTAGAGGGAACACTGAGGGCAAATAGAAACAGATTAACGCCGACGACCAAGCAAAAAAATCAGGGATGTAATAGAACTATATGAGGACCGTAAGATAGCGCAGGTCAGCACCGCATCTAAGATGATAAACGAGCTGGTAACGGCTACCACCAAGAAGGATAAAGAACGGGCGAGGGCAAACTATGAGAAGCTGGTGGAGAGACACGAGTCAAAAAAGCCATTAGGGGAAAGAATGGAAGCCAGTAAGAAGGAGAACACCGAAAGGAAAAAAAGAACAGCCCAAAGGACATACTCTCTTGAGGTTATGTTCTTTACCTATGAGCGCGAGAAGAACAGAATGAAACCATCATTTAGAGACAGTAGGGGCGACCCCTTATATCCATCTTTTACAGAGCCCAAGGTGGCTAATGTAAAGACAAACAAGGACATAGAGGAAGAGGTTAGGAAACGGATTATAAAAAAAGACGACAGAGACAAGTTTAACAAAATAGTGAGAGTGTTAGAACAAGATAAAGACATGCTTGGGCTTCTCGGCACGTTTATGGGTTATGGATTAGATGCCATAAAGATCTATAGTGCTACTGTAGTAGATGGCAACGGTGAGGAGTACGACCGCAAAAAGAGGAAACTGCGCAACTCCGATAATATAGGTATATACCACATGTTCATAGAAACAGAACTGGACCCCGAATACGAAACCTTCGCCGAAGCCATAAGAGTTAAGCACTATGTGAAACACGAGTGCTGGATAAATACCCTGACTGATTTTTATAAGGACAGCCTTATGGGAGAGAAGAAAAAGCAACAGATGACCAGAGAAACTGTGCTTAACCTGATAGGAACCACAGAGGACGAATTCAAAAAAGTAGGAGCATCTATAGAGGATATGTCCAAGGTGTTTAGAGAGTACCGCATAACTGCTCGTATATATGACTATATGGAGAACCTAATTTTTTCATACGATCCGCCTAAACGAGACCATAATTATAAAACCTTCTATGCTCTACTGAAGAACGACCATATTTATACTATAAATACAGATCTTAAAAAGCTGAGACGGTTAATGCCGGTAGACCGAGAGCACGACATAAACGTTAAGGCGCCAAGCGACTACCACATAAACGAAAGAGATGCTCCTGTGGAATGCAGGATGATTAACAGCATAGACGACATCAACAAGCACACCGAACACGACGAATACACGATGATATACAGAAGAAACAACTTAGCTGAGCTATACTATCAAAGCAAACAGGCAGGGTACGAACCATACATTAAATTTACTGCTGGAGTGGTTTCGGAGCTTAATTTCAGGTTTAAAGTGAGAGTATCAAAGAAGCAGTATAAAACCATATCGTATAAAGTAAAGACACAGAACCTGATTAAAGATGCAATGGACGGAAGCATAACAGTAGAAGCCGAACAGACTTACAATAACATGTCCAGGGCGATGTATGATTTCAATCAGGCGCTGTTTAACCCACTGCATAAATCCTATTATAATGAATCCGATATGGAGGTGTTTAAGCAATGTCACACGATAGCACCGTGTGGCAGAATACCGCGGATTCATTATAATAGTGACCTAGAGACTGATATAAAAACCTACTATCTATTTCGTGAGCACTGTGTAGAGATTGACAGGAGAAAGGCTTACACGTGGGCTTACAACCAGATTGTTGAAGTGCCCGTGTTCTGCGAGTTTGATATCTGGAAGCCTTACGATAAACATGATTTTAATGATTTGACCCTTTATCTCGTGAGGGCTACTGGCGAGGCTAAGATGTTCTTTAACAAGCCCTATCTGTTAATGTACGGTATGTTTCTAAAACACTTTCGCGGAAAATGCGAGATTTTGTATTATAAGCGCCCCTCTCACACCCACAAAGTGAATTATAAAAGCATCACCGAGAAACTGTGGGATACCACCATATCACACAAACAGATGGAAGACAATAAAATCAAAAAACTGATAGCTAACGTAAACATAGGACTGCTGGAGAAGGGGACGAACAAGGCACAGAAAAGCCTCGTGTTTGATACCTTAAGCGAGGCTTTATATCATCAAACCATACACGGAGGCAGGATTAACAAAATCAGCGGACATTATGAGGAGATAGATGAAGAGGGAGAGGGGCTTGAAACGATAGAGAAGGAAACAGAAGCAAAATACTACACGTTAACTGTAAGCGACACAGCCGAATTAACAAACGGATTCAAATACATTAAGGAACTGCTTCTACAGATCCATAACTTCAGGATGTATGAGGATTACTACAAGTTGGTGGAGGCGGGGGTTCAGGTCAATTATGTTAAGACCGATGCCTTTCTGATAAAGACCGCCGACCTAAAAAAGGCTAAGAAACTACTTAACTTCTCAAAGGAGATCGGGGGCTGGAGAGTTGAGAAAGGACGGCTGTTTGTAGCCCCAACCGACGATTACGAAATGAAACCCAACGAGCTGGTGGAAATACCGACCTACGAGAACGAAAGGATAACGGTAGAGGACGAATGGGATACTCAGGCGATATGTCAGCAAATAGTGGAGCAGAATCCAGTAATCATAAAAGCTAAGTACGTTGGTTCGGGTTAGAGCTACATAGGCGAGTACATGAGGCATTTAGGTTATAACGTGCTGTTTGTGTGTCCAACCAACCAACTGCTACAAAACACCCAAACCGATGCCACAACTAAGAATAAGTTCTTTGCCATACCTATGGAGAAGGGGGATAAAATGGAGGCGTTTGACCACAGTAAGTATAACTGCATAGTGTTTGATGAGGTGGGTATGGGAGGAATGTATGTATTAAATAAGATAATGGAGTTCGTTAAGAAACACGCCAAGGTTAAAATAATCATAGCCACCTCTGATGGGAAACAACTGCCACCAATAAAGGATATAACCAACACACGAGACCACGAGACATATCTGAACGAATGCATTAACCAAATATTTAAATACCGGATTTATCTTAAAATATCAAAGCGACTTAAGAAGAGGAGCGACAAAATAAAACTTAAGCATATATATGATGATATCTGGAAACACAAACTGCCCATTGAGCAGATTGTGGAAAAACACTTTAAAACAACTGACGATATGATGGCATCCGAACACAACATAGCATATACGAATAAACGGTGCTTATATGTATCAAACACGATACGAAAGAACCTGGGGAAGAAGAATAAGTATGAAGTGGGCGAGTGCATGATATGCAGAAAATATAAGAAGGAAGGGGGAACGACCTTCAATGTCAACTTTAAGTATCAGATTAAGAGTATCGGAGCTGAAGGGGTTGTGCTACAGAACATAAAAACCAATCAGTTATATAACACCAGTATATCTACATTAGATGAGCATTTTAGATATGCTTACTGCACCACATGCCATTCGTCTCAAGGCTCCTCGGTTGCTAAATCTATCACTATACACGAGTGGCAGAAGCAACACTTAATAACGAGAGAGTGGTTATGGACTTCATTAACAAGGGCTACCGATATTAATAAGGTTATGTTCTATAAAGCATCCGAAAGGGACGATGAATTAAACGAGACAACCTTAATGCGATACTTAGATAACAAGGTTAAGCGCTACAAGATACAAGACCTGAAGGCAGGTAGGACTGTAGATGATGCCGATTATATTGATGTGAAATGGCTTTATGATAGGATGAACAGCAGATGTAACAAATGCGGTTGTGGGTTTGAGTTTGATATGAAATGCGGGGAGGTGGTAAGTAATCTAACAGCCCAGCGTTTAAATAACGAGATGGCGCATGTTAAAGATAACTTAACAGCATTCTGTTCCTACTGCAACTGCAGTTCTAAATGATTATCATAATAAAAATGATTATCTTAATAATTTATAATATCTTGTTTATTATAATGAATTCTAAACAAGATATTATTAACGATACTTATTTTGAACGCGGGGGGTTTGGCAGTAAAGCTAGGACGCTTCAAGAAGCAAGAAAGAAAGATAAGAGTATAACAGCGGAAGATGTTAACGAGTTTTTTAGGAAGAACGTGGAGCAGAAGCGAAAGCCAACAGGACAGAACTCCTTTGTAGCTCCCAATGCTTATTATGAGTTTCAAATTGATTTGTTTTTTATTAATGATATACCTAATCAAAAGTTTAGGGTAGGAATGATATGCATAGATGTATTTAGTAAATATATGAACGCGGTGCCGATTTCATCCAAACAGCCACCGGACATATTAGCAGGTGTTATGGAAAACATTAAAAAGATGGATGGGAAGCCCCGACTAATTTATATAGACGACGAAGGGAGCTTTAATAATCAAAGTGTTATAGACTACTTGAAGGATGAAAATATAGAACTACACAGAACAAGAGGGCACCCAGCATTCGCCGAAAGGGCGATAAGAACACTTAAGGATATGCTTTACAAGAGGGTTGAAAATGATGAAAAAAAGGGTAAACAAAACATTCAATAGGGTGATTATTTACATGAGATTTTATTAACATATAACAATGCTATGAAACACTCCTCCCATGGACTAGAACCCATAGAAGCCCGTAAGAAAAAGAACGAGCTCAATGTTAAACTGAAGTTGTCTATGAACGCTAAAAAGAATCGTGTTTATCCTGATCTGGATGTCGGAGACACTGTTAAAATACTGAGGAAACGAAAGCCCAATGAAAAAGAACGCATAGGCAATTTTACACAAAACCGCTTCACCATGGAAAGAATTGATAAGAAACTGGGGCAAAGTTATTATTATATAGAAGGGAGCAATAGAGCCTATTTGAGGCACGAGTTGCTAAAGGTTTGATGGAAATCGCTTGGGAATCGGCTGTTTTGCTCGTGGGTTGAGAGCCTTCAGGGGTGGTATTCCGTGCTCTTTTGGCACATGGCTTTTTGAAGATGCTTTGAGCAACTCCGAGTGAAACAAAGCGAGGCTACTATCACGGAGCTGAAAGCCTTCTTGCAAATCTGCCCTTTGGGGCTGTTCTTTCCTTCGCGAGGCTCAACCAATCGCAGAGGCTCTCCGCAATGACAAGGGCGAACGTAGAGCGCAACCACTTTTTTGACTGCGTCCGGCAGATTGTCAAGGTCAACAAGCTCCCTGATATGACTAGTTATGACTTTAGTGTGCCTCTGTCCGGTGGTGGGTTGAAGCAGATAGAGCGTATCACCACAGCACCCAAAGCCATCAATTAACTTCATCCTGTCTTGCTGGGGTGGATGTCTGTAAAGCACGTTGGGTTTGGGACAAGTCTTTGCCACAGCGCAAAACTCCAGTTTTTTGAACGGCAGGACAATGTTGGAGGCATCCTCGTTGCGCAGAGTTGCATCGCCACGACCAATCGCATTAAGAACCGCATCCTGAAAATAATTTCGAACAATTTCGGGCATCCTCTGCACCAAGTTGCTGAGATTCTCATCGGATGTGCAGGAGGTCATGCTTTTGAAGAGCGCATCCCGAACGTAGGTAGAGACAAGTCCTATGGTCTCGCCTTCCTTGGCTTCAGCAGAACCATCGTCTGCGTCAGCTGTCAGAAGAGGCACAAAGGACGGGCATTCACGTTCCTTCATATCAGGGCTTGGCTGTAAAACAAGCATGGTATGCGCCTGTTTGACTGAGGTTCGCTTCTCCGCGGCATTGAGCGCGCCAAGAACAGCCTTGCAGAACTTATCCACTTGCTCTCGGAGGTCCTCAAGCCCGAACTCACTATGGACCAAGCGCGGAATGCAGTCGCCACACACCTCGAGACGCTTCTTCCGCTCCGAATCAGACAACCCCATTAGAATGCCCAATCCAACGCCTGATTTTGGCGACCACGTTGGAAAGTATTTGACACTCTTTGGAGTTTTCCAGAACTCTCCAAGCACTGCTCGAAAGCCGACGGTCGCGACAATCACCATGTGGCACACCCTGAAGTGCCTGTTGGCATCCTGTATGTTGAGGCTCTTCTGACCTTCTGCCACCGTCGCGTCGGGCTTGATGTCGAACAAGCCCAAGGACTTCTCCAGCATTGGCTCATCTCCGGTCCTGTGGGGGTTGCACTTGCCATCCTTTGCAATGGCAATCAGCCGTGTAGCAGTGCCCAACACAATCCACTCATAGTCCAACTTGTCAGCCAGAAAGAGCCAGATGAGGTAGTAGATGAGCGTGGTCTTTCCTATGCCGGGTGTGCCACTGACTACACACCGTTTTCTGTCGTCCGCCTTCCAGCCCCGCAGAAATTGCAAGAACTTCAAGTAGCATTCTCGCTGAACGATGACCGGACTCTTCCAAGGCAGGTCATCCGCACTGACGCTCTTGTTGCGGTTTGCCAAATAGGTGAGCCCTGCTTCTTGGCTCTCCTGCTCACTGCTCATCGAAGCACCTTGTAGCCAGTCAATGAACTCCGGCTTGACGAAGCCCTTACGTGAAGCAAACAAGCCCCAAACCAACTAAGGAAACTAGCAACCCTCAATTCCTATACAACCCAACAACCAAAAGGTTAAAGCGACAGAAGAGGAAGAGGAGTTCTTAAATGCAGGTGGGGCGCATCTGATGGTGCAGGATTGGCATGGACCGTGTATATCTGGTCGTTTGCTACGTTGCCATAGGATGGAACAACTGCATCACCATCTGCATCACTCAGCGTAATACTGTCAGGTGATGAGAAGCCAAATTTACGAGCAACCAGCTTCAGTGAGTCCTCAGCAGAAACGTCCTCGCTTATTTTTAAGCCTTGCTCCACATCTCCGTACTTTACCTTGATGCGCTTGGGCTTTGGCTCGGTCACGGCATCATCCGACATTGCTCCTAACATTTCCCCTTTGAACCTGCAGAAGCACCGGCAGTTCCAAAACAGACGCCCCACAAAAACAAGCAGACCTAAACATCCCTGAACCTTCAAGATCACGAAAATCCACCTAAGCCACGCATTTTGAACGAACCCCACCTTGCCCCTGGAGAGGACGAGTTCTTTTTGTGTTAAGTTGGCGGACACGTTCCCATTTTTAGGGGAAATGGGGAGCGCGTTCGCATTTTTCGGGGAAATGGGGAGCGCGTGCGCATTTTTCGGGGAAATGGGGAGCGTGTTCCCATTTTTCGGGGAGCGTGTTCCGATGTTTCGGGGAGCGTGTTCCGATGTTTCGGGGAGCGTGTTCCCACATTTAGCGGAAACGTGGCAAGGCTTATAGCGCATGAAGACTGCGATTGACACGGCAAAAATGCTGAGAATTCAAGCCCCGAAACCCTAAAATTACCATAAATTCTATCAACCCCATCACGCCTGTTGGAAAGATGGTCTTTGGATATACCCTATTTGATTAGGCTTATTTGTTATAGGTGTAAAAGCGTAGGGGGGGG